ATTTATTTATTTGTTTCTTTGTTTATTTGTGTTTCTGGAAATCAAACCCAGGTCCTCACATGTGCTAGGTGAGTGCTCTACTACTGAGCCACAACCCCAGGCCTATCAGAGAGGTTTTTAAAATACTGTTACATAAATATAAACCTCTCATCGTTTATGTTGGATAATAAAAATATTTTTCTTTCTTTTAACACTTACAATAGGAAGCAGTCTGACCTCTCTGTGGAAGTTTTTTAATTATTAGGTATTTCCTTTTTCATTAAATTCTGTTCATGTCTTTATTTCTTCTTCCTTGAAGTTTACTGTTAACTCTTCTATTTTTCCAAGTTGTCTTTCTTCCTTTCCTAATATATACATTAGAAACTGTAGATAACCTCTTTTTTCTTGCTGTCTTGACTAAAGTCACAAATTTTGATATTGGCAACACAACATTTTCATTGTCAGTTGGCTATAAATCACTTTTTTTTTTTTTTCTTGATCAAAGAATTATTTACAAATTGTTTTTCACTTTCCACACATATCTGGGATCTTTTGTGTGTGGATTGATTACATTATGATCTTAATATCAATTAGTTGAAGTATCTTAATCTTTCTTTAAGGCTTATATGTATGAATATGTATTCTTTAATTGTTGAATGTAGGTTTTATCTACACTCAGTCCCTTGATTTTGCTTATTTGCTTGTTCAAGTCTTCAGATCCTTCATACTTTTTGATCTAGTTGACCTACTAGTTACTGTAGTGAAAATGTTCCTCTGTGATTGAAGATATGTTATTTTCTCTTTATAATTCTGCCAGTTTTTGCTTTGTATATTTTGGGATATATTGTAAAGTGCAACAGATTCCTGATAAATGGTTCAACTTATTATCATTTAGTGACTCTCTATTCCTAAAGGTACTATTTGCCTTAAACATATATTTGTAGTCATTTAAACTCTTTTTAGTTAGTGGTTTTCCTATTATGTTTGTCCATGGTTTTCAATTCTTAGGGAAAGCTAGACATGTTGGCTCATGCCTTTAATCCCATCTAATTGGGAGGCTGAGGCAGGAAGATTGCAAGTTTGAGGCAATTCAGCAAGATCCCATCTCAAAAAAATAAATAAATAAATAAATCCAGGCACAGTGGTACATACCTGTAATCCCAGCATCTAGGGAGGCTAAGGCAAGAAAATTGCAAGTTCAAGCTCAGCCTCAGCAACTTAGCAAGCCTAAGCAACATAGCAAGACCCTGTGTCCAAAAAAAAAAAAAAAGAGGCTTGGGATGTGGCTCAGTGGTTAAGCACTCCTGGGTTCAATCCCTGGTGCCTAAAAAGTAAAAACGTTAGGGAGACATTTTTTTCCCCAACCTAGAGCCCATGTTTTCTCTGACAAGTTTCTTTGCTGTCTCCATCCTTTACTTACTGAAAAACTGTATGTCCTAATTTGCATAAAGAATCTCAGTTCAAATCTCTTGCTACATACAGGCCTAAGATTTCAGGTTTTTCCTCCAAGAGGGCATCACAATGCAAACCTTCATTTTATTAAGATTGACTACCATCCTTCACTCTCTGCCTTTCTACCCCACACCCTACCAGCACTCAGCTGGTACTATAATTTTTGGCCCCTAGGGATTCCCCTGGCAGATTGAGCTATGCATTTTAAAGAATGTTGGTTATATTCTCTTCGATATTTCTAGCATTTGAGGTGTGTATCTGCGGGGAGATGTCAAGGTTATTTGGCCTGGCATGATGTCTTAAAGGCAGCTCTTTTTTTTGAGGATATAAAGAAATAAGTTTAATCCATTCACAAAAGTTAAAAATGATTAATACAAGAGAGAATTATACTATTTGCTAAAAGGATTATCAAAGTTATAGCCTTAAAGGCAGCTCTTGAGTCTTAATCTAGCCTGAGAATACTGCTGTGTTGTTCAACAACTGTTGATTTCTGAGATTTGACATCATATAAATTATATAAAATCCTGGTGTTTGGATGCTGGATTTCCTGGTGGGGTGTTAACACCTACAAGGATCTGTCATGTCTTTTGATTTGGGGTTGTTTGTTTGCTTGCTTGCTTGCTTGGTTTTCTTGGTCCATAACCATATTGAACTTAGGGTACTAGAAGACTGGTCTTTAGAACACCAAGATTTTTTTTTAATATTTCAACTTATCAATTTGATAAGTTGAAATATAATATTTATAATCATAATAGTAGTGAATAGCATAAAGTCTTGATGATGCTTATAAAAGGCTCAGATAGCCAAAAGTGGTTTAGACTATTTTCAGTTGAAATTATTTTTAAAGATGGTATAACATTCAAAATTATAAGGAAAGTATAGTGGTAATCTTGCTATCAAAAGTAGGCTATACTAATATTACATTCAAAGTATAGAGTTCAATAAGGAAAAGTTTGTAAATTATAACTATAACTACTATAGTAATTTAAGTAAAATAGTAAATTACAACTATAACACATAGTTCTGTAATCTAGGCAATTATTTACATACATGTCCTAGTTCATGTTTTAAAGTCATGTTATTGAATAACATTTATTTTCATCGTATTAGTTATTCTCATGCTTTTTGGTGTTTGAGTGTTATAAATGTAAAAAATCCTTACTTCAGAATTCCTGCTTGAAGGAATGGATTTGTTCTTCCATGTTTATGAATAAACTCTTCTACTTTTACATGTTTATTATATTTTAGTAATAAAAACTTCTTCAGTGAAGAAATGTGAAATAATTTAATAATTTAATAAAATAATTGGAATCCAACAAAAGTTTTCTTTGAAATTTTTTGGAGGCTGGAGTTACATTTCACTTCATGAACATTCTTATAACTGCATCGAGTGTAAATTCATTCCTCAGAACATTACTTAAATAATAGGACTCTTCATCAGAAGTAGAATATCCTGATTTTGTTGCTGGCATTTTCTGTACCCTGGATGACAGATTATGAATGTTGATTTTTTTGTTTATTGATTGATTATTCTTGTGTGTATCTAAGGAAAATCAAGGTAGATTTTAACCAGTGTCTTGGACTATTTTGTTTAATAAAAGATGTTTCTACTTAAATAACAACTTTACATTTTCTTCTAGGTTACCTTCCGAACAAGAATCTATCACTGTAATATTAACAGCCAAGGTGTGATCTGTCTGGACATCCTGAAAGACAACTGGAGTCCAGCCCTAACCATCTCTAAAGTTCTTCTCTCCATCTGCTCACTTCTTACAGATTGCAACCCTGGTAAGAAACTTTACATTAGTATTGAATAGGCACTTTTCAAGACTTAAATACCCAACCTTGGAATTTGTTTACTGCTACTAATGCCACTACTTCTACTGTTATAGTCATTGATTTTAAGTTTACATAATATATAACTAATTTTCTTTAAGTTGAGTCTTCTCATTTTTCTTTTTAAGATCTATAATTGACCCAAAAGGAAAAAGGATAGTGTGATAAAAAGTAATGAAAAAAATCATTTTAGAGGAGAAAGTGCATTTAAAGAATGTATTAAATTCTTCTGACAAATAATAATAATAATTTAAATTAATAGTTTAATCTTTAATTAGATGCCTACCAAAAAATGTTAATTTGAGAAATGTGGGCTATTAAAATCTGATTACAACCAGGCAGTACCACACAGATGTGACCTTTTGGCATCTTAATAACCATGCATCCTGACAAGCTATTAGAATAAAAAAGCTGAATGATCCTAAACTAGGAAATACAACTTCCCAGGAAAACTGAAGAATTTACGTCAAGGTCTTTGTGGCTTACTGCTGTGCTTAACACTGAAAGTTTTTAGTCCTAGATGTGTAAGTATGTTGTCTTTGACTAATTTCTTCTAAATAAAATACAAACCAACCACTGATTTCTTTTTTTTTTTTTTTTTTACATATTTGGTTTAATTTAAATTCAAAGTTGTTATAAGGTTTTGATTGATGTTCTCAATGGGAGCATGCTTTCTTGACTATTTAATTAGTAACTTTAATATTGCATGAAATCCTACTACCTTCCATGTTTATGAATAAACTCTTCTACTTTTACATGTTTATTATATTTTAGTAATAAAAACTTATTTAGTGAAGAAATGTGAAATAATTTAATAAAGTTGTAATGTATTTAAAATGTCAAAATTTAAATTGCTTTTAACACCAAAGGAAATTGTATAAGGTCATTATAAAATATTTTTTAAATTAATTCATACTTTACCCCCAGATAGTGAATTCGAATTGCTATACTGCATAGACTTTTTCCTCCCTCCCTCCCTCTCTCTCTCTCTCTCTCTCTCTCTCTCTCTCTCTCTCTGGCGGGGGAATACCAGGGATTGAATTCTGGGGCTCTCGACCACTGAACCACATTCCCAGCCCTATTTTCTATTTTATTAGAGACAGGGTCTCACTGAGCTGCTTAGCGCCTTGCTTTTTACTGAGGCTGGCTTTGAACTCACAATCCTCCTGTCTCAGCCTTTCAAACCACTGTGATTACAGGCATGCACAACCACGCCAGCCTATTTTTTTCTCTCAATCATATTATTCCTATTTCAGTCTCATTTGTCACTTTGATTGTGTATAACCTCATTTAGAGGTAATGTTGCAAGAAGGCAAAGGCTCTTTTACTTGTTACCGAGAGTCTTCTATGTGAGAATCTGTGAATTCTTACTTCAGAATTCCTGCTTGAAGGAATGGATTTGTTCTTCTAGTACTGTCTCTCTCAAAGATTATTGTTAAATATGTTAGTGGGTTTTTTTAAGGGTTTGGGAAGTTTAATTTTGTTTGGGGTTTGGCTGTCTCAAAAAATTACAGATGCATTCTACAAAGAAAAGAAAAAAATCACTCCTGACTAAAAGACTAAAGTACAATCAAATAAATTAAGGAGACATTTTGAAAATAATGCTTTTTTTTTTTTTTTTTTTTTGAGTTAGGGTCTCATTTAGTTGCCTAGTCTAGGCTGGGGAGGTAGATCAGTGATAGAGTCCTTGCCTTGTATGTGCAAGGCTCTGGATTCATTGCCCAGCATAGCCACACACACACAAAAAAAAAAAAAAAAAAAAAAAAACCGGGGAGGGTGGTGCATGTTTGTAATCCCAACAGTTTGGGAGACTGAGGCAGGAGGATTCCAAGTTTGAGGCCAACCTAGCCAACTTAGCAAGACTCTAATTCAAGTACTTTTTAAAGACTGGGAATGTAGCTCAGTGGCAAAGTACTCCTGGGTTCATTCCCCAGTACAATCAATAGTTGGATGGATGGATGGATAGATGATAGATAGATAGCCAGCCAGCCAGCCAGCCCAGTCTGGCCTCGAACTTGCTGTCCTCCTGCCTCAGTCTCTCCAGTAGCTGATATTAACAACTGTGTATCATAACTAGTGAAAATAATACTATTAATAGTAAGAAGTAGTCTAAAAATAATAATGGCCCTTAAAGCTAGAGACAACCTATCTCAGCATAAGAATGGGATAGTATTTATAAAATCATGCTGAAATTTAGTTTATTGCACTGCAATACATTATAAAAAGGTTTTCAAATTGGCACCTCACTTTTATGAAGGTCGGCATTTATAGATTAAACAGTTATCTTAAACTAGTCAAAAAATCCATTTTTGTTTAATAGACTGCTTTCATACTATTATCTGATTACATTTTAAACCTCTGTAGATTTTTTTCCTTCTTAGCTTAGATTGAAGTTCAATTTAAATCTATCTTCATATTATCACAAGTATATATTTGATGGATATGAATAAATAGATTGTCCTGTTACTGAAACTTTACTTTAACAAGAGAAATGTGATCATTTCAAAAATAGTCCTGCATGACAACACATATATAACCAACTTAAAATATGCTCTCACACTTATCCCTACATAAACTAATTTTTAAATCTTTTTAATAATTTTCTCATAATTTACATTTGTCTCTTTCAAGAATTTTTGGCTCATTAAAAATAAAAGTTATATTTTTAGGATGTGGCTATACATCCTTATTAGGATGATATGGATAGACAACAGACATGGATTTAAAAACCACCTCTACCATTTATTGGTTGTGTCACCTTGGGCTGGCCACTTCATTTTGCTCTTGCATGGTTTCTTATGCAAAATGGATATTATTATCAGCCATACCTAAGTCACTGGGTTCCTGTGAGTTTAAAATGAGATGCTATATGTGAAAGCCTTTTGTAAACACTAGTATGCTGTGTCTAATATTCTTCCCCGGAGTATTTCATACACCAAAAGGGCATACAGTAGATAAATATCCACTCAGTTTAATTTAACTGCAAGAAGATAGTATTGAATAATCCCTAACACCACCTCATCAACATTGACATTCTTGGATTTCATAATCCAAGCCTAATTCTGAATTAGTAGTGCCTACTGTATATCTATTTACGGTGGCAAACATCCAGTCCAAACATAATCAGCCCATTGTTGATGGATACACCAAAACTATTCTGTTCCCAGTGCAGTGATCTAGGTATATCTAACTGCTGCCCTTATTAAACCACCATTTAATAGTGGTGGGTACTGAGCCTGATGACGCACTCTTACTTGTCAGACATTACCTGAGCACCATAGTTTGGCTGTAACACAATAAAAAACAGAGGAGCACCAGAAGGGACTAAAGGATGATAAGATCAAATGGTCAGCATCAACCTCCCAGATTCTCTGGATTTGGTTCTGCTTGGAGAATAGGTTTTAGCTAAGAAATCACATTGCCATTTGTCACAGAATGCTGTTATTTGTTAATACTCTCTTCTCAAGTCGTTATTCAACTGCAGTAGCAGTTCATTTCTATTTTTGTGTCACCTTTTGATGTTGCGTGGTCATCCTTATTATAAAATCTGTTTCTTTAAATGTTATTTAAAATATGCTTATTATGGTCTTCAGACCTATAAGAAATGAGTATTTTATTGCATGGATGGTGGAAGGAGACCCTCATCATTATACATGTGCCCCAGGTTTGATCCAAAATACTACCAAAAAAGAAAAAAAAAGCTTTGCCAAGAACACTGACATTTATGAGATGAAACAAGAAGCCAAACAGTTTTCCTGTACCTGAGGCTTTATTTTTCCTTTTCCTTTGCTTCTTGGGATTGAACCCAAAGATACTAGTTTCTACTCTGCTACTGTTCTTTTTAAAGTATAATGAACTCGTTTCATTTTAAGCGCATTTAAGAATCACCCCCACCCTACCCTACCAAGCATAGACTTTTTATGAGACAGTTGTCAGTTTGGGGGGAAAAAGCATTTGATGTTGAGCAGTTTTTATCAGAAATTTTTAGGCATGATAATGGAATCGTGATTATGAAAAATTTTTCCTTTTAGAAGTGTATACAAATAAAATTTTTGGTATCTGAAATTTGCTTCAAAATAGTCCAGAAAAATTTGAGGTATGTAGGAGTATAGAAGATATCAAGATTGACTATTATCATTGTTGTCTCTGAGCAATGAGTACATGGATATTTGTTACTATATTTTTTTCTATTTTTGAATATGTTTGAATTTTTCTAAAATGAAGATTTTTTTTTTAATTGCCAAAGATTAGATATACTCAGCAGTGTAATCTGTTAAATATCTGTGATTTGGCTCTCTTCCTCTGGGAGTAGGTAGAGTCATTTGGGCCCCAACCTGGCTCCTTGTATTTCTTTCTCTCCTCATCTGCCTGAACCAACAGGGGCCTGTCTTAATAAGCAATCTTGACTTCTTTGCCACTCTTCAGGCAGGCAGTATCTGTGAATCGGGTCAAATGAAAAACTGGTCAGAGGACACCCACAAACATCAACAGTTAGGGTAGGGGAGCTATTTCCCCTCCTATCACCTTTCAAATGAAAATCAAGTATTGATTACCTCATTCTTATATTTATGCAAATCTTCATTAGAACAACAAATAGAACTAAGAATGGCAACTAATTAACCCTCAGCCTTACACAGTAATTAAGCTGAGGGTGAGCACAGCTGCAGCTTCACTGGTAAGAGCTTTATTCTTCTTAAATGGACTGAACAAATGAAAAAAGGATTTTACTCCCAGTGGCTCTGTTACAGTGATCTGTAAAAGGTCAGGAGAATGGCTTTTTTCTCATCTCCAACATCACAGCTCTTTGTTTCAGATCACTTAAGGCCTATTTTAAACAGCTAATGCAATTGTTATCCATAAATTGTCTCTGATACCATAGGTTTGATTATTATTAATTGCTTGTCTTTGGCCTGGTTATCATTAGATAATAAATTGTTATTGAACATTAAAGT